TAGTATACAAGTTACCCTTCAAGTGGCATGGGTATTTTGCTCACCACAAAAAACACTGTTTTTGTCTGATGGCCGTGGCTGGTATGGACTTGTCTTAGTTGTTATTTCTATGGCAAAGATACAAACTACTGACGGTGGAAAACCAACCTTTCAGCAGTTGCAAAAGAATTTTAAAAATGCGTGGGATAGCCTAATGATACGCAGTATTCCTGAAGGCCTTAATCGACTTTCAAGGATGTAGACGCCTTGGTCATAGCTTCGAATGAAAGGCGCCCAAACTTTCCTGCGTCGATCAAACATAACAACTTCTGTCTACAGCTCCCATGGACGGACTCGCACATAATATAATGAAATTCCCACTGATTCATCACTCAAATGCAAGACTAGCACCATGAGCTATTTCGTTGTGCACCAGTTGCAGAGTGGCGCTGGTGGCAGTGCTTCTGGGACTGCTGAGTCCTATTACATTCACTTACCATCCTAAATCGTGGTACTCAACTCACTTAGCAAATCACAGGTAAAATAGTCCAATAATTGGGAAGCTCTGTTCATACGAGTCACTGTATGATGTCCGTTATCACACAACCTCTCTGCATACCTAGAATAATGACAATATGCATGTACGTTCTACGACTCCCACAATATCATTATATCGGCTAGCGTAGCCAGTCATTGACCACTTAGCTATCAGGCACACATTTACCCCATGCTGTTTTCACCGCCCCGGCGGTAGTAAACTTAGTGTATTATCCTACTAATACTATCTGCTACCTCCTCAGACACACCAGGCCCTAGTTATCTAATCCCAATCCATCCCCTTCCAAAGCTTTGATTTTCGACAGTACTGCTTCAAACGCCTTGCATGGTCGTCAGTTACCACACATAGACTGCGTTCCGCCTCTAAGGAGATTTTTAATCAAAAATATCTGCAATCTTGCACCAGCTTTGTCCAAGCTTCACGGGTTACATTGGCCTATCCAAATTTTGATGCACAAAGAATTGAACATCCTAAGACCAATGGCCTCAAAAAATATGTTGATTATGGGGCCTTCCAGATATCGAGGCACGTCATCGCAGTGGAAACAGGACACTGTCATATTCATTTTGATGGCACATGCACACATACTTCAATCCAGTTGTTGAGTATGCTCTCTCACCCACTCGTTCATCTAGCTGAAACTACAGACAACTTCTTCATCCTGCTCCGGTCGACTCTGGGACGGGTCTGTCATAATTCGACGCGCGTTTCGTTTGGATTTTACAATCTCACTGAGCGTCTAGTTTTTTCCCCTCATTAAGTCAGTCACTTTCTTTGCAGTTCTCTCGCCGTCCTCTACCTTAATACCAACTCAATCTCCCAAAAAACATTTACACCTGACTCCACTTGAACACCGACTCCAGTGATTCTACATATTTTCACGGTGCACCATGACTCTCAGACTCCAGCCCCTATTGGACCGTATTGCTTCACCCTGTGCCTCATCATCCACGCTGACATCCAGCTGTTCAAGGTCAGTGGGCCTCGTCAGTGATTTTCACTTTTCGTTCAATTTGACTAACCGGATAACTGCAACGCTGCTTCTTCAAAACATCGGGTGGCCTAATTTTCTCATTTTCCGCGATCCGCAGTCTTCGTGCACGTGTCAGACTAAGCGTCTCTAGGTTGGCCTTTTGCGTTGTGTCTAGGCCTGCCAATTTCAAACTTTGATGGTTTATCTCGATTTAGCTCCAGATGATCCTCTAGAAGACCTCAATAACTGTGTTTCTCTGACAACAATTTTCGCCGCACTTTAATCGTAACCGTTTATGTTTAGCCGCGTCCACGTCGAATAGTGCGTACTAAATGTGTAACTGTTCCCTTTCCACGCCAGAAACCCCATCAGCCACGCCTTTATTCTAACGGCACTATTATGATCAAACCTGACGGTATGCCGCCCGCCAACTTGCAATAAACGTTATTATTATAAATGTCATTAATAACCAAGTGACGGTCTGAGAGCTTGGACATATTGTGATTGATTCAATTTCAGGTGGCCATCCTAAATTTTTTGTAGTTGTTCACCACGAGTGCGGTGGAATAGAGCTTTCTGTGGGCGAATCAAATGACTTTTGGCGTAATCAACTACTCGGCTATTATTTTATTCTGAAAATTATGTAGTTTCAAAGTAACTTGGCGTTGCCTGCGGTACTGAATCGATGTTTCTGACACATCTCGTAGATCATCCAAATGAGCTAAGCTAGAGGGCACAGTGCAAAGATAGACGTGACCGTTTGCGGATCCAGTGCTTTCACACCGACTGAAATTTCTACAGATGACCCATCAACATCCCCATAAAACCTACTGGTTGGGGAAAAGAATTGTGATGCGTTCCTTCAATCCACACGCGACCCTAAGCAGTGAGCCGTGGAATGAACTGTACTGATTCCCAACCAATCAGAATGTGCTTTGAACGATGGACATAGGCAACGGGGGAGACAAGGTTAGAGGAGATTCAGGGTTCCCCGAAATTATAAAGAAATGCCCTCTCCTGACAGACTTATGGCTTCCAAATTAGCCAGAAAAATTTTGTGGTGGGAACCGGACAGGAAGATGAGTGTGCTCAAAAGATGGTATGGTTTGCGCAATGAAAAGCAATGATCGCGTTCTTACTGTACAAAAGTACTACCAAAATGCACGAAGATATAAATAACAAGGTGATAAGGGTGTATTTAGCAAAATATATTTTGCTCCTATTGACAATCAAACCCTGGTGCGCAAACCCAATCCTCATATATTTTAACTAGAATCAACGTATTCAGCAGCGGAAGTGCCACGATCACCCATAAATTGCTAGAAGCTGATCAAAAATTGAAAGCAAACACGATGTTGTAGATTCTTCGGGCGACTTGCCCAGATGGGCCACTGCTAGGAAAAATTTCGATGTTCCAAGACACGACTTTATCGCACAGATATTTTAGCCTGCCGGTTTGTACACCGAATTTCTGCGGTTCCTCTTATATTTCATCACAGTACTATGCAGCAGTTGTGTACTGTGGAAGGAGATGACGCTAAAGTAGTGAAGCTCAACAAAAACCTACGGAAAATACTTACTTATATTGTAGGCATGACATCAATCTTGAATGCTTGTGAGGGAAATTTAAACACTTGATCGATGTGCTGCTAATAACGATTCGACGAGTTCCAGGGGAAAATTTGCAAGCAGATGTATTGTTTATTCAAATACTTAAATGTTGTCCAGAAAAATGAACACCGCCAATTCCGGGTTTAAAATCGTCTGCCAACCAAGGGTACGTTGTCTGTCTTCGGATACCGCAGAGGGCCTAACAAACGTAGGGGAGGGAGCCATGTGCGAAGCCTCTTCACAATGGATTCAACATTCAACCGCCCGTTTGTGGGTTATATTTAGTGTGAAACATAGGGTAAACCAGCTAGCTGGGTGGTCAAAATGTAGATTTCTTCGGGTAGATTTGTACTCAACCTTGTAATATTGATGGAAGCTTTGCTGAACAGATGCTTCAAACAGGACGAATGATCGTGGTTTGATTCTTTCGGGCGAAAATGTCGGTGCGCTCACCCAAGCACCACGCGGCCTTACTTTTAGCAGCATAAAGGAAAATTTATTCGATACAGATTCCTTGAAGTTTTCCCTCGGAAATAATTAACGACCACTGGGAGGACGAAATTTGTTGTCTTTCGGGCGCCGGTATATGGACAATCTACTTTAACTAATGGCTCAACAAATCCACAGCTCTAAATTCGGCGTTTGAGCGGTTGAAAAAACTGTGTACAAGCTGTTCCACAGAATAAGTAATTATGCACTGAAGATTACCAAACCACTGTATGAAACAGTTATAACTAAATGCCCAATTTTTTTGCAAAACTCAGAAGACCAACCTAAAAAGCTTTCACAAAATCAGTTTTCTCGGGGCTGTTTGGGAAGAACGTGTTGGGAATGGTATGTGAAATTACTGAGGTCAATGCGGACTGGCTCTCAATATATTTCCTTTCCTTCGTAATGCGTCCCTGATCTGGCTAGATAGACATCGAAAAAATTTATGATCCCCACAAATATAGTTGTTGTATTTATGTGATCAGTTTCCTTCAAAGATTTGTTTCGAGGAAACGCAAAGCTTCTGAAAAAAGGTTATTCGTGGCGTTCCGGTAACAGTTTTGGGGAAATTTTTTAGTACCTCCAAATGTCTATTATCCGCACAATGCTCTCAGCTGAGAAAACATTTATGAATGGAGTGCAACCTTCGCACGCCAAAATGTCACATTTTGTTGCGTATATGTTCAAATCAAAAACTTTCCTAATCTACTCCCATATTTTTACAGCTCACCAAATTTCTCCTTCACTGGATCAACCTTGCCCCTGGTTTTAAAGTCTTGTAGGATAGTTTCCCAGCATCGTTGAGACCTCGCGATGCCTAAATGAGGCTTATCAGTAAGAGCTGTAACTCTTACTTCATTTGACGGATTGCTTTAGTCCATCAGGGATACTTCTTAACCTTCAAATTTCAATTCTATTGTGCGAATACTGAGCTGTGCGTGTTGGGGTACTAGTCAAAAACGCGCCTAATCCACTTGACCTTGAGCGCGCAGTTTCGAATTTTCATCAAAGTTGGATTTTCTCGCCTCTGCATGTGAACGGCAAGTGGTTGGCACCAGGGCCTGACACAAAGCAGTTCTACCGTCTCTTCATGTGTTAGTAACTCCTGCGCAGATGACCATTACTATCGGGAGGTTTATGTGGAAGGCGTTTCACAGTTGATGATCCGAACACCCTAGGGCTGTATTGTTCTTGCCTGAGTGTTCAGCACCTCACCGTGCGGCGGTGTTGAATCGGACTTCCTGTCTGGTTTCGAGTTAACTTGATGCGTGTTCGCTGGACATTCACAGAAGAGGAATGCATAACCATCCAAATCGAGATGGACATCTGCCCACTGCATCTGCGGACTGTCAACTGATCTAATGAACATACACCGCTGCCGTTTTTCAGATGTTGAGAAAAATTTTTCAAGCTTGCGCTCGCACTAAGCTCAAGTCACGAAAAGACGGTGCCGTTCTGTACAAACAACGATGCTTGACGGGTCTAGATACCCGTTGGTTCTCGTCTATGCATGGTTTGGGTGGTAATTCACAAGCAAGAAGCCGCTCGAAATTTCGTCCTGTAAGTGAAGTCAATTTATACTGAAAAGCACGGATTCGCTGCTTGGTTGTTTCCCAAATCTCATACTACCAGTCACAGAAAGACTGGACCTTAACGTGGTGTGACGGTTTGTGTGCCTCCACGGTCCGTTGATTTATACTGGGTGTTGTCCGTGTGACACCCAATGGGTCTCTCACACCGGCTTATTCAACGTTTGGAGGTCTGACCTACACAGTATCCTGGCCCTCCAGGTTGGGTGTCGGAACATGTGTCGCAACTCGATCTATGTCTGACCTACTATCCTGGCCCTCCAGGTTGGGTGTCGGAACATGTGTCGCAACCCGATCTATAAAAAGTGAAACACTTGCGTTTCCCTCCCTCCACTACTGCCTTGCGGTCAAGCTTTTGAACCAAGGTCTTTGTTTGGGGATCCCGATCGTCCCCGTGTCCAGATTTGGGCACCGTGGCAATTTTCCAGCCCACGTACAACCATGATGCTTACAACCAACAATACTCTCATGCCACATCGGTCGTCTCGTGGTGTCACCAGCCGGGGCGCCTTACTTGCCGCATACACCAGGGCGGATAAGCGAAAACATGCTACTGCTAATGACTCTCTTCTTACACTCACGTATTCCATCTTCTATCCCACCTCACGCCAATTAGAATACGCTCTAAGCAGATCCCAGCGCTGGAACTGACCGTCCTGTTTGCCGTGCATCATGCTCAGCTGCAGCTTCTGTATGCCCAAATTAAGTAACAACCTTAAACAATTCGAAGCCTGTTTTCAAACCTCGAAAGCCAGTCTATCTAGCTTTCCTTAATATTCACACACCAAAGTATGCAGGACAACAAGCGACTTTTGCTCGTACACTGAATTCCATGTGGGTTGATGTGTGCTGTCTTTTGGAAACAAGGAGACAGAACGCAAGTATTGTGATTAAACTGACTTTCCCATCGCCCTCCACCAGGTTCTGAATGGGCAAACCTTGATGCAGAGGTCGGTGAAGCTGAATATGCTGGCATGGGTGTTATATTGAGTGACCAAACGGAAGTTTATCTACTTCCTTGGACCTCCGTTGATAGTTGGGTGGTTCTTTTGGCAGCGTCTGTGAAAGGATCTCGAGAATCAGGTCCATCGCTCCCTGTTTATTGTGCCTGCTTATCCCCCAACGGACCATAGCTCTGAATCTTCTAAAGAAAATTTCTACGACTTTCTAGGCACTCTTTTGTAATGGGTTAAAAACTCAAACATCGTTATGGTTACTGACAGAGAACGCTCGGGTGGGTACAACTCAGCGAGCCTCATTCAACCATGGGATTTATGACAACACCGCGGCTTTTCTGGAGGCACGATTACAAATTCTTCCTTACCGCAATTACAACAACTTGACGCATCATCCGATATCAGGTAAAACTGAGCGTCCGTACATACCGAGGAGCTTGGTGGACTTAACAGGCCGAAGAAATGGAAGAGGCAAAATATTTTTAGAAATATCCATCCTATTGGTCCTTGAAAGCCTCTTATCAACGAGACTATCGGGGATCAAAAGGATTATTGATTTTCAACAAAAAAGGACGTTTGTACCGTTGAGCAGAGTACTTCACACAACAATTCAGTTGACTACCTTTTATCTCCAATCCGGAATCCTGGACTTCAACTTCAGGAGTGTGCGAATGCATACCTCTAATCATACGCCATCATGCTGCTGGTCCTCGGACCAACCCTATTCAAGGATCGCGGAGAGTTCCTCACCTAATGACTATTTCGCATATATTGGGGTCCAGCTGGGAAACAGAAATCGTCCCAGACAACTGGGTTGAATCGATAGTAATGCTCATTTTAAAAAAGAACATACTCGTAGTGAACGTAGCACCCACGGAAGTGTTAGTTGTAACAAGGCTTCTTACATCCCTGATTCTCCATCGTCTTAAGGCGGCATGTGAAACTTTGCCCGTGAGCACCAAGCGGGATTTCAGCCAGGTATAGGCTGCGTGGACCACATCTTCACACTCGGTCAGATGTTAGAGTAAGGCCATACGTAGAAGCCACGCACAATCTTGTTGTTCCTTGACTTCACGGGTGCATTCGATTTTGCCGATCGGCCATTGCTTTTATTTATACTCGCTCAATAGAGTATATATATAGTAGTATAGAACTCTTCTATAGAGGGAAATGTTGGTAGCTCAGGTAGCGTAGATTGTGTTCGTTTGCTTGTTCGCTGAGCTGGGCAATTTGATTGCAAACGTTTCATCACCAATCGCACTGATGATGTCACCTCGATTGGTGATGAAACGTTTGCAATCAAATTGCCCAGCTCAGCGAACAAGCCAACGACCACCATCTACGCTACCTGAGCTACCAACATTTCCCTCTATAGAAGAGTTCTATACTACTATATATATACTCTGTTGAGCGAATATAAATAAAAGCAATGGCCGATCGGCAAAATCGAATGCACCCGTGAAGTCAAGGAACAACAAGATTG